TGAGTGACGCACGAGAGGCTGCACTTAATTCAGTGGTATTACACCATTGTCTCCGCATCACGGCGGTGCACTCTCTTTAATGAAAACAATGAGGCGGTGCATTAGATTGCATGGCTGTCAGTCGCGGCTATCACTCAGGCTAACGGCACTAATCCCGGTGAACAACTGCGGCTAACAGCTGCACACTTCCTGCGTCGCCCACACGAGCGCGGCGGCGCTACCAAGGCATTCTCGGGCACTCGGCCGAGGATGCCGAGACGCACGGAAGGCACGGAGGCGGGGTCACGGAGAGATCAGCCAATATTTACATCGGGATGATTTACTCAGAGGAATAAAATAGTCAGCGATTTTTTTTCCTCCTGATTAAACTGATTTGATCAAAACAAAATATAATAAAAACTTAATTCAAGTAAGTGGCTATTTCCATCTATACTGGAAAGACATGCAGTTAAGCACGAGACCTCCACCAAAGCTGGAACGATTCTAAACGTCTGACTGTTATGATTTTAAAAATTAGAGGTACTGCAGGCCCTACTATTCAGCACGTGGTAATGTGGCATTCCAAAATTGGTGTACAACAATCTTTTAAAGTGCCATATTTCACAGTTTACTGCCCCACTTGGCCTGGACGCACCTGGACTGTGACGGCGAAACATAAAAAGAATGTATTTGGATCATCACCAAAAACAGGCTTCGGTTTATGACTGCATTGACCTATGGCGTTACGAACAATATGTCTTGAACTCGCTTGCACAGCAGCGCAAGACTACGTCTTCTTGTGGAACAGGAAGGCACACTCAATCGATCACCGTACGTGCTGTTTTTAATGCTGACGTAACGTTTTGAAAAAGTCAAGGTCATCAATAAGAACGGTAAAAAGGTAACATTCACACAACACATCATGTGACCATGTAACAGAAAGGTATTCAAAGAAGACTTTTCTTCACGAACAAACCAGCCAAGTAACCAGAATATCATTTAGAGAGCAAACCTCCACCAAGGTCAAACAGATAACAGAAAACAAAACTTACTTAGCATGCTACTTCCTGGTTCATGGAGGGCAACGTAGGGTAATAAACTAGTTAGTGCTGCGGCAAGTCAGTCGCCATACTGACCGTTTTTAATTTGATTTATTATATTCATGGCCCACGATTGTTTCTTTTGTCCAAATATTGACATTAATTATAACTTTACTACTGCATTAGCATAGCTTAGTGATAACATGATGGGCACAGTTCAACTTACAAATTTGGTTTGTGTTACCAACAACGGTCATTTTGCCTTGAACAACTGCCACTTGCTGTCGAGTGAAAATGACATCACAGTACCTCAGGGCTCAGCGAATGAACATCATGGATCACCTGGGTTTGGTCATGTGACGTTCACAGTCCGTGATGTCAAAAACAAGCCGCCACTGTACATTCAGTAAAGAACAAACCAAACAAAGCTTAAACGATCACGGCCCTTTCAAATTGGATTCGTGTTCAAAAGCATTCCCGTTGCAAGCATACACATCCGAACTTACTGAGCTTCTTGTGTATGCCACTACATGTTTTGGCTCATAAAAACGCTGTACTCTCAGACGCCATACGTTGAACAACTGCGGCGGCGTGCAGCTGTCTCCCATATTTTAACTTGAAGGATCTCGCTGAGCTCAGAGGCAGCCCATGAAGCATGATTGAAGTACAGAGCTTCTTCATGGTACGGCGCAAGTGCGCCGGCTTTTTTACGGCCACTGTGTTTTGTAAATGTCACCGTGAAAGCTACGCTGCTGATTTAATGAACAAAAACCATGCTCGTCAGACAACATGGCCATCATGCTGATGAACACCGGTCTGAGGAATCAATACAGGTCAGCATTGAGCTACTTTACCTGAATTGTCATATGTGCCATGGTTTTACTTCCATGCAGAAAAAAAAAATGCTCCTGTGGCCAGAAATTGTATTTAGGTAAGTGCTCCCCAAGACCCATTAGTGTGACGTCTCCACTTTTGACAAGAACCTCGTTCAGCGGCTTCTCCATCAGCAACCGTGGAGCTAATCCCAAAACAGACGGCTTTAGTCCGTCTCCGAAGGAGGTAGAAGGGAAGACGAGGATTAGGTTGTGGTAAACCTAATTAAGACAAGGCTGATAGAGTCAAAAACAGGGATTTAAGGAGGAGAAATAAGGATAAGGTGAGTGTTGCCCCATTGCAAGGGGACCTCCAGTATCGCGTCTATTTGTTTGTGTTCAGGAAAAGCCGGCTTCAGTTACAAGACGTCTGTTTTTAACGGACATTTACTTTAAATTCTGCGGCTCACAGGTCAGGGAGGAAAAGTCATCACATGTCGTCATATGATAGGAATAACACATTGCAAAGTGGAAGCACTAAGGTACAAAACAACAAGCTCTGGAACGATGCTCCATCTTTCGATTTGCTCATATTTTTAATCACATAGAAAAGAACACAAATGTAATTCATCTGTTCCCAAGTCAGACTGCTACCACTAGTGAATCAGACATATATGTTCAGATAAGTCGGTGATTCTCAAGGTGTGGTACGTGAAAGAACTGTACTGTTCCGTTGTATTTAACTTTTTGCATTAAAGTTTGGAGAACCGTTTCTTTTTACACTTTTATTTAAGAACTAAGATGCTCACAAGAAATGCCAAAAATCCTGAGATTTCATAAAGATAAGCTTTTGTGAGGTGCGTTTGCAATCGGATTCCAACATTGTTTCCGTTTAATGGCATTCTCTCTGCTGTATTTGCTTCATGACAACAACACAGCAGAGATTTCCGTCCACCCCCCCACCCCCTGTATCCGATGGATAATAGCCATTAATCGCCGTTAATAGCATTACTGAATAAATGCACTTGAACCCACATTTAATGAGATGTAACCGCTGATCGCAAGCAAAAAAGCCAGACATGAGTCAAAGTCTTTAGTGAGTCCAGGGGAATATGTTGGCAGTTTGCTGTTCAGTATGTGCCAAACCTCCATCATCAACAACCAAAATACTGCACCAGTGAGGCTCTAATGAGACAAGGGAATGCTACTTTAATTCAAATTACACATCCCAAATGTTAAATGTCTTACAAGGTGGCTAGTTTGGATTAACTACCGTATTGGCCGAATATAAGACGGCCCTGATTATAAAACGACCCCCTCTTTTTCAAGACTCAAGTTTGAAAAAAATACTTTTTGAACACTAAATTAGTTTTTATACAGAAAATAATTACAGTACATCTGAAACAAATGATTATAACAATATATTTGAGAGAAAAAGCATGTAATTTTGCCTCATTCAAATCTAAAGTGCAATTTCATACATGGCAATGGCGAGTGATGAAAAAAGCGGAAGGGGCGTGGCCTGGACGGGGGCGTGGCCTGGACAGGGGCGTGGTTACTTACAAAAGTGGCACTAAACATGCTGAAGATGAAGTGTATTAAATTTACACAGTTTGAAAATTGAACAGAAAAAAATCCCAAGATCGCCACTATTCTTTCAAGTGAAAATTTGTGCAATTTTGCCTATGCATTCCTGGTGAGCACCAATATGTAACTCCAAATTTGCTGCT